CATATTTTGAGTTTTGATTTAAATAAAGTGAATGTGGACTGGTCTCTGATTGGAGATGGGATTGAGTTCCATTGCTGAGCAGCTTTAACAGAAAATGAAGACTGACTGAAAGAACTTTTTCTGAGTGGAATAATGCAATCTCCTCTCTCTGCGCCTCTTGTTACCCTAGTTGCAGTTGTGCGTATGTTAATAAACTGTCTAAGAGGAGGTGAGGTAAGGCCGTTGACAATCTTGTAAAAAAGGCAAGCATTTGCATGTTTACTGAGGTTTTTGAAAATAAATACATGTAGTACCTACCCCCCTCTGAGTGAATACCTGTTGACTTCACATCTTGCACTGTGATCTGCATGCACTTATCAAAACATTTAATTAGGAGCAAAACACACACTTCAAGTCAGATCATCACCCTTAGCTATTTTAATTACCTCTCAAACAACCTAAACTAGTTATAAATGTTTATTTTTACTGTCGGCCGGGTCACTCATTACTGGATCAGCTGCTGCATGAGACAGACACTGAAAAGTATTATCATCTGAAATTAATCATTATGTTATTAGTATTAAATACATATCAGTATTTTTACAGCTTGTATTTAGACATACTCTGTTGTAATTATTGATGCATACATGTGTTCATCCATTCAATGTGGCATCTGCTATAATGGGGTTCATGAATGATATTACTTAATAATACAATACACTATATCATATATGATATGATAATTACATTTTAATTTGATTCATTTCTTATTTCATAGTTTCTCATCATTATTATAACAGTTCTGTTTCATATGAGTGTTGAGAGCTGTATCCATAAATCTCTTAATTTTGCCCTCAAAGTGCACCAGATTGATGCATTTAACTTCAATTTAAAGAAAAACATCTTCTGTTGCCAAAGTGCTGTACATATAATAAAAATACCCTACAGTAAAGACACTTTACAGCAAATACAACAGCACAGTTTGTTCAGAATATCAGTATGAGTATGAGCACCCTCTGTCGTTAGACCCTCACATCGTACAAGGGAAAACTTCCAGAGAAAAACCCACATTTCAAAGGGAAAAATGGGAGAAACCTCGGGGAGAGCAACAGAGGAGGGATCCCTCTCCCAGGATGGACAGAAGTGCAATAGATGCCGTGTGTAAATCGAAGAGATAATACATTTTACAGCGTATGTAGACCGCATGACAAATAAAGAAGTGTAATGTAAACATTTACATTATTATTATGATTATTTAATATATAAAGACTATATATTATTGAATTACAAGATTAGATATACTTTATTTGATCTAAAATATTGTGTTCAAATGCTCTTCTAAACAAAACTGAAAGTCCATGAAAAGTTGTCTTTCTGTATTTGTGAATGAAGCGCCATCTCCTGGTTAAATCCTGAAATTGAAAATCTGGCAACGCCCTCTTGGAAAATAGTGGGAGGGCGTAACATTCCCAGATACTGGTCTTTGGCAGGTCTTAGGCAGGTAGCTGGCAGGTAGCAGGCAGGAAGCTGTAAGCTGGAGTCTGAAATAAGCTGCTACATCTGTATATTGCAACAGGCAACAGCTTTGGTTCATGTTAATTTACAAACTCTTCAACTACAACCGTAGTTATATTTAAAAACATGTTAGAAGGCCTCACAAAATACTTTAATGTAAATTTAAATTTAAATGTGAAGGAATGTGTGTATATTAACTGTGGGTTTTTCTCTGGAAGTTTTTCCTTGTACGATGTGAGGGTCAAAGGACAGATGATGCCGTTTTTCTCATACTGATATTCCGCTATGCACGCTGGGATTTGGTGTTTATGCGATGTGAAATCCGAAAACATTTAAAAATGTGTGCTTGCTTTTCTCTTTGAAAGTCATCACATAACGGCATTGTAATACACGTTTCGGCTGCATTAAATATTACATATCTGCCGTAGTTAACTCTATTTATAGAGCCCTGATGACAAGACTTCTAGACAAACAGGAACTGCCGCCAAAACTGAAAACTTGACGTGGATCTTAAATATATAAGCAATTAAACAACATCTTACATTTCTTTTCACACAATACTTCTCCTTGTAGTATCAACACTAATTCGGCTATCTTTTATATTTGATCCAATTGGTAGATAGGCTGTATTTACGCCATAACGGTGCACAGCTGATAGAAAGGGACACCTACTGGTTAAAGCACGTTATTGCATTTTATAATTTTATTATTAGATATTAATAGGATAGAACGTGAAAGGGGCGGGGTTAGCAACATTTGACCAATCACAAACAGGGACAAGCGTACTGACAGCGCAGCGGCATACTTCATGAATGAAAAGTAAACTATAATATTAGACAAATATGAAGAAGTTAAACTTTAAACATCCATGACTTAAACACTTAATCTAGGAGCAGGGGCGGACTGGCCATCTGTGTGTTCTGGATTTAAATGGCATCATGTAAATTGCGCTGACAGGCGACAGAGGTCCACAGTTTCCCCGCAGCGAAGCTCCCCCCGCCCTCCTGTTGACAGTTCACGAGTGTCGAGCTCTCCGCTCTTCCCCCCCCCCGTTGACAGTTCACAAGTTGTGCTCTACCAATTTGTCTGGGCTGGGCTGGGTCAGAGTCCAGGGCTGATTTTCGGTCCCAGTCCGCCCTTGGATACAAGCCACATAGTTTCACCTGCAAGGTGAATACAGAACAGCTGGAACAAACAAAAAAAAACGACTGAGTGTTTGAATGCGTACAATAACAGTTTTATGATATCACTGACACAAGTGGATTTGACTTTAATTACATTTGACTCAAGTGTTTCGTCAACTTAAAGGGGACCTATCATGCAAAATGCACTTTTGTATGTCTTTTATACATGAATATGTGTCCCCGGTGTTCCAGGGAACTCACCAAGTGTCAGAAAACACAACCCTCTCTATTTTCCTCCATACCCAAATCTCTAAAAAAGGGGCTGCAATGGATCTGATAAAAACTGATCCAGATTTGAACACGTTACTGACGTCAGGACGGTGGCGCTACGGCTATTGGGCCAACTCTCCACCTATCGGGGAATGTGGGGTTGGGCCAAGGCCGGCCATTGCCGCTCGAAAGCGCTGGAGACGCTGTAGTACATATGCCAGGCCTGTAAGTGGCGCTGTAGTCTGCCACAAAAGCAGCAAAGAAGACTTCCTGCGCATGGTTGCCATGGTTACCCTTCTGTTTATTCTCCGCTGTGGCTTTTTTTCTCCCTCCCCGAGGCAAGCGTTTGCTCCCGCTGCTGTAATTCAATGCAATCCCTCCCCGTCGAGGCAAGCACTGTAATTCTCTCCGGTTAGTCCACCAGCAGATGACAAAAACCCACCTCTCCGCCTCTTCCAAGGAACGAGGGGACCGTGCGGCAGAGTTTCAGTTCGATTTTTTTTTCGCCGGTCAACATGTCCGTTAAAGTTTAAATCTTCCGGACAAAATTAGAAAAGTGCCGGTCAAAGGTCTTCTTTGTTATTTATTGAGCTTTAAAACAAATGAATAATGACTCTATATAATCATATAAGAATAAAACACGGAGGGCGGAGATCTTTTTTTCTCCCCCCCTTCTGACTTGATCAGAGCGGCTCCCCTCTCCTGCAGGGGGGCGTGGTCAGCTGCAGCTCACAGAACCTGCAAAAACAGGGCTGGAGAACAGCAAATAGAGCGAAATGAGGCATGGCTAAAATGCATGATCTGTTTGGTATTTTGAAAACAGAAACGTATGAATATACCTTATATAGGTATGGCACTACAATATATCATTTAAATATAGCATGATAGGTCCACTTTAATGTTTAAAATAACACTTCGGCATATAGTATGTGTCAATGTAAGTGTTGCACGGCCAGATACGGCTCGAGAAGCTGACTCAGATGAATGAGGCGAGTAAACACAGCTGACAGCCACCGTGAAACTCGAGCGATTATTCGCATCGCGTCCATCGTGAACGCACCACTATTACAAGTAGGCTATTATATAATTATATAATTACAAAATAAAATCGCCACTCTCAGTACAGCGCCACTTTCCGAACAGGAAATGCACGCAAATACAATTTTTTATATTATTATTATTATTATTATTATTATTAATAATATATATAAATAAAGACATCTTGTATTTTAGTTACACCTGCTATTGATTAATGTTGTCAACATTGGACCTTGACACTGTCCACATAGCTATAGTGAAATAATATAATAGAAAACATTAAGCCTCTTTGATTTAATAATCGGAGCTGAATCCTCTCTGCCATCTCATATAACACACACTTCCTTATTTATCTTTGAATAATAATAACATAAAAATAAAGACGACTATAATACGGTCCTTCAGTCCTGAGATTAGCGCCTGCAGGCAGGCTCCATGGACCTGTCAGCTCTGGACAGCGCAAAATGCGTATATGAGGTGCTACGTCATGAACGCAATAAATCATACCCTCGTGGGGGCGCGCTCATGTGATTAGAATGGGGAGGCTGTGGCGCAGTGGACTAGTGCGTTGGTGTTCGGATCAGGGGAGCACAAGATTCAAACCCCACTGCAGTCAGCATGTCGTTGTGTTCCTGGGCAAGACACTTCACCCCAAATTGTGGGGATTGTCCACAGTATTGAGTATGTAAGTCGCTTTGGATAAAAGCGTCTAACATGTAATATGTAATGTAATGTAATGGAGGAGACATCTGATTGGCTATAGATAGAACAAATTACAAGTACGAATCGGGTCACCAAACCCACACACGAATGCACAGCGATCCATGCACAGAAAGCGGGTTGTTCCAAAATACTTATGCAAATTTTTTTTCTGTATTTGGATTTAATTTACATGTATATGAAACGAAACACATGCGACACAACCCTCTGAACAACACAACCCACTGATGCGTGTGTTGGTAGCTTGGCACGCTAGTCCCTGGAACCTTTGCTGCTTCCAGTGTTTCCTCTTGAAGTCTTTGATCGCTACCACTAAAGCGCTATATAAGTACAGTCCATTTACCATTTACCCAGTCACCGGGCTTGAAGTGGTGTTGTGGCGCATCAGCTGGCGTCGGCAGTACGGCTTTCACCTGAGAGTGGATAGCTGAGAGGGAGACTGAAAGACTTATACAGTAGTTCAACAAAAGGTAACTTAAATTGTCTCAACTTTCAGAAACTAACATTACATTAACAGAATAATATTCTTTAAATATGTACCAGTTCGTCTTGTGCCTTGGGCCATCAAGAGAGCCAGCTTTTCACGGCAAAAAATATTTGTAGCTGCTTTCACAATGATGACATGCTATTCTCTTTTATTAACCAGTAAAATAGATCTTTACAGGAATATTTTGAATATTATTAATCTTTATGGCTTTGTAAGATTATATGTCTCTATTTAGCACAATGGACATGATTAACACACTTGTTTCAGTCTTAAATCTGTATTGTCAATGTGCTTTGGCAATAGTATATGTTTTTAATATGGTCATATCAAAATAATTAGTATTTCCTGATATTCTAATTTTTTTTATATATAAAATGATCTGTGACTTCCTCAAATTATCTGTGACTTCCTCAAAAATATAAAGCATTTAGAAATTCAAACCAGCAACCACACTTTCCCCAGTCACATACTTCAGGATACTTGCTGCAGAGCTGACCTTCTAGGAAAGAGTTGGCATTCCCATGAGCAATGGAGGAAGTCTATGACGATGTTGACGATGTCAAAACCCTAAGCTCAAGATCATCAACAATACAAGAAGGTAAGAGTGTCTGTTAGAGTGCACTGTGGATTTTGGATGTACTGTATTACTCCCTGGTCTTCTCTGTGTTCAGGTCCCAGGAGACTTCTCAGAGCGTCTGTTCTCGGTCTGGGGCTGCTGAGTGTTTTCCTGCTGGCTGGACTCATCGGCCTCGCTGTCCACTGTGAGTCTTTCTTTTAATACGTTTAATAATGTCATTTTGAACGTGTGATTTTAAGGAGCAATATTCTGCTCTGAAAGATGCACATTTGACCAAAACATCTATAGTTTTTCTACTTTTCTCCTAGGGCCAAATTAGGAAAACATTGACTTTGGTTTGTGTCAGTATGATTGCATCAGGTAATAAGAAACATCTATTTTCTTTCCAAACCATAAATCAGATGGTGATGCAGCTGCAGATCTCTCCGCTGTCAAAGCAGACCTGTCCTCAGTGACTGAAGAGAGAGACACACTGAAAAGACCAGAGAGGTGGAGTGTTTGAGTGAGTGCTTCATGTGGGGGTTTGCATAGGGCTCGGTATGTGTGTGTAAGATATCAATTATCATAATATATTTTACAAAATACCTCAATATTGATATTCTAAGGCTGACTATTGATCCTTTCCTAAAATAGTTACACAATGACACTTTTCATTAATGATAATCAAGAATTAGTTTGTAATGACTTAGTTGTGAGTGATTTAATTTATAGTTTGTTTTATTTTTCTTCACCCACCATATTTATATTTCTCTGTAAACTATACTTATGGCCAGTTTCCTTGTCTAAATTACTTTTAATATAAGCAATAGGAAGAAGAACTTAATGGTAGTTTGTTCCAGATATTTGCTGCATAATAATAATAATAATAATAATAATAATAATAATAATAATAATAATAATAATAATAATAATAATAATAATAATTATAATTATAATTATAATAATAATAATAATAATAATAATAATAATAATAATTTCCAGTCGGTCTAGTAACTAACACAGAGATTTTGCCACTGTCTGTGTTTAAGTGGATGTCTTTGAAGACTTTAACAAGATCAGTCTCAGTGCTGTGGTGCCTGACTAGATCACATAGAAACAGTTATTTAAATCCCAAAAAGAGAAGTAGTTGTTCTGCAATGAAATGTGTGATCTCTTTTCATCCCTCTAAAAATGCTTAATAAATATGTGTTTTCATTATTATTACAAAAGTGACATATAATGCACTCAAGGGTTCCATATTTCAGCAGTTAAAGCAGTAAATCAATAAGATCTTAAAACGTTTACAGAGAAATCGTGTCCTGAAGGATGGAGGATGTTCGGTTGTTCCTGTTATCTCTTCCTCTCTACTGAGGAAGCTACTTGGGAACAAAGCAGAGACAACTGCACAGCCGAAGGAGCACATCTGGTGATCGTAGACAGTGAGGAAGAACAGGTAATGTGTGCTGCTTTAACACTTGTGATTGTATAACCCCCTGCTTTTATCAATCAATAATGTTTTTATTGTACATATACTAGCAAATGTGTCTATCAGCTATAATGATTATGTTACAACAATGGTGTTGATTACATATTTCTGAGCTAGTAAAAAGGGAAAAGTTATTTGAATGTTGATGTCCATCCCAGTAAACTGCATTTTTAATATGTGAACAGGAATTCATCACTCGCATGATCAAGGAACACACGTGGATTGGTTTGAATGACAGAGAAGAGGAGGGGACCTGGAAATGGGTGGATGGATCTCCACTGAATCTGAATCTGACGTAAGGCTTTACTTTGATTTTAAATACAGATGCTGGTTTATGTTGTGACCTTTCTAAATGTTCCACATGTTTCTGTAATGGGAGTTAACACAACACACAGGATGCATTTAAACGTAGGGTGTCTGCCCCTTTCACCAGAAGATTCATTTGGGTGTTAAGAAAAGAACATGGCTGTATTACTTATAGTTATTTGTATTTGATGTCCAATCTTTTAATTCATCTTCTTTTCCTGTAATACCTGTTAGGTTTTGGAGCCCAGCACAGCCTGATAATTTTGACGAAGAGGACTGTGCAGAAATACGGAGTATTGTTCACTCCCAAAGCTGGAACGACCAGACCTGTAAGATCGATATGCATTGGATCTGTGAGAAAGAAGCTTAACATTGGTGTCTGTTTGGATACTAAACATGCAATCATGCTTTTACAATTTATTTTAAATTGAGTTATTTAAAACTATTCAAAATGCCTCATTTCATGAATAAGAATTACGTTTCATGACTCGATAAATCACAATTTTTTTTTTCTGATTAATATCAGCAATAAATAAATAGTAATTTAATTAGTTTTTGCCAACTTTTGTTTGCCTCAATTAAATTAGTATTTGTATTAATCCTTTTACAACTTCAACATAAAAACAGCTTCTTAAAAACATCTGCTGATAAGCCCACAGTTCCTGAAAGTGATAATATTGAAGGTGCCTTATTGAGCAGAATATGATAAAAATAAGAAGAATAAAAACTGTCAAACATTATTGAATAAATCAGAAATATACAACAATACTGTAGTCTCAGCATTGGTCTAACTCGTTCAAATGTGTAAAATAGCCTGTGTGTTTATACAGTATGTTTCCTAACAATGACCTCTTGTGGCCATGTGAGTACAGATCTATTGCAGGTATTTAACATTCATAGGTACCAGCTAGGGATGCTCCGATCGCCAATTTTGGGGCCGATCGCCGATCGCCGATCGCCGGAATCAGTATCGGCCGATACCGATCGCCGATCCGATCGAGTGGGCGGGGCCTAAATGGAAGATTTAAACATCACTTTAAATCTTCCATTTAAAGTGATGTTTAAAACTCAGTTAATGGGGCTCATTCACTGGAGCTTCAACAAACAACAATCAACTTAATTATTACATTCAAATGATGTATATTATTCAAGTTTACATTCACTTTGGATAATACCACGGGAGAAATGAGCGGAAGCGCTCTCTCCCTCTCTCTCTCCCCCTCTCTCTCCCCCTCTCTTCCTCTCCTGACAGCCCGTCAGTATCGTCTCATGCAGCTCGCTGATCCAGTAATGTGTGAGGCCGACAGTGAAGAATAAACATATTTATAACTAGTTTAGCTTGTTCCAGAGGTAGATCAAATAGCTAAGTGTGTTAGGTGTAACTCTTGTGTGTTTCGCTCCGCTCACCGGTCCGTCACAGCGGGTGGAGCTGCAGGATTTCTGCTTCACACACACGTTGCATACCGCTATTTTACTGTCTTTTTCGGACACCTTAAAATAATGCCAGACCGGTGAAGCCATTTTGGCGAGCTTGTTTTGCCGCGTACAGAGAAAAGTGTCATGTATTTTACGTCATGCGATCGGCCCTCGTGATCGGCATGTTTAGAGAGCACCGATCGATCGGTAGAGAGTGAGTATCGGCAGATCTCGATCGGTGACCGATCGATCGGAGCATCCCTAGTACTAGCCACTGTGTACATACTGTAAGAACTAGTGCTGTCAATTAATACAAAAATGTATGTATGTTTATCACAATAATAATCTGGGCCTTTAACTGCAGGATTTGCTCATGTTTCATTAAAAAAGTAAACTGCCTTTTATTTGAAGTTAATTACAGTACTTTAGTAAATGGACAAATTAGATATAGCTAGATCAGGAAATGGCAACTTTCTTTGAGCATGCATACAAAGATAAAAACCGTAAAAATATATTGTGGGTGTATTACATGTTCTCTGACAAGATAAAGCTCTTCCACTTCAACAAACTGCTGTTATCAGATAAAAAGCAGCTTTACCACTTCACCTTTTTTTCTCAAAGTGAACAACTCCTCCCTGAAAGTTATCTTTGAAATGATGTGCACTTTTTATAATTATGATCAGCGGCAGACAGAGTACTTCAGAGGAAAGACATTTGTGTTTATCAGCATTTAAAATTAAGATCCCTGCTTTCACAACAGTGTCATGCTATTCTCTTTTTATTAACCAGTAAAACAGATCTATACAGGATCAATACATTTAGAATATTATTCATCTGTATGGCTTTGTAGGATGATATGTCTCTATTTAACACAATGGACTTGATTATCTCACTTGTTTCAGTCTTAAATCTGTATTGTCAATGTGCTTTGGCAATAGTATGTTTTAAATGTGGGCATGTCAATAAAGCTTATTTGAATTCGTCTTGACTCTCTGCGTGAGAAAAAAACAAACATTTCCTTATATCTTTGAGATAGATATATAGATAATTATCTGGTACAGTTGCTAGGACTACCTTTAGCACTTAAGAGGTGTGACGTATTGATGGTGTTTTGTTTTGTTTTATCCTTTACGCTATTGCCATTTTCCCAGACATCAGACATCATATTTCAAACTATCTAGATGAAAATATTTTATAGGGCTGTTTTTAAGACCTTGCAGCTCTGGGTCTTAGCAGACCCTAGGATCCATGCTCAGTTCCATGCATGGAAAATGTTGGACAGCAACATTGTGTCAAATATAAGCATCTCAGGTAAACATATTAATATTGTGCCTCAGGTTAAGTACCTTGGAATCATTATTGACTCTAATTTAACATTCAAAACACAAGTCAAAAAAGTGACCCAAAGAGTAAAGTTTAGCCTAGCAAATTTTAAATACATAAGAAACACAATGACATTGAATTCTGCCAAGTTATACATGAATGCCATGATCATGTCACATCTAACATACTGTCTCACAAGCTGGGGGCAAACTAACAGCTCCACACTGAAGCCACTAGCAACCCTGTACAAACAAACCCTCAAAGTACTGGACCAGAAACCTAACCGCTCCCATCACTGTTCCATCCTCAACAAGCATAATATCCTGAGTTGGGAAGATTTAATAAAGTATAGGAACATCGTTCTGGTGTACAAAATCCTGCACAATACAGCCCCTCCACCTCTTAACTCATTGGTTACTCAATGTAACAACACCAGACTGACCACTAGAAGCTCCACACGTGGCGACCTATCAGTCCCATTCAGGAAGAGTACTTTTGGTCAGTCATCATTCTCGGTCAGAGCAATACAAAACTGGAACTCTCTACCCACTCAAATCAAAGACATACATACACATACCACCTTCACAGCTCACTTAAAATCATGGTTCACTGAGAACTACACCTGCACACACTAGTCTGTGTTGAGTATGGCGTGAGTGTTACATGTTGTGTTACATGTTGTGATCATGGATGCTGCCCCTCATTTCTGTTATGTGATTGTGATGTGCTATATGTACAGTATGTAGTAACGCGTGTTGTTTATTGTTCTCTTTTATCCTCTCTTATCCTTTCGCCTGTATCTACTTGTCTTTCAACCTTTTTATTTTATTTTATATTTTTTTATAACTAATGCTGTTGATATATTGTGATTTTAAGGGTGTCTATTACCAGCTGTCCGGGGACAACAGCTGGAAATTAGCCATGTCGGCTAAAGCTGCTCCATTTACTGTTTTTGTGACAGTTCATCGATGAGGACTGTCCACGACACTATAAATAAATAAACTAAACTAAACTACCTTAGGTGCTTGGTAACACAAATGAAAGTTGCACTCTTTTTTCTCTTTTTCCTCTTGTCACATGTGTTATTATTATTTTGAGTTTACCCGTGCAGGGTTGAGTATGGATACACTGTTGGAAAATACAAGAAAGGTGATAGAAATTATGTACACAGGTTTAGAAGCTCTAAAAGGTGAATTTTTGAGAAGTGATTGGAGAACTATGTGTAAAGGAGAGTTGTTACAACACAGAAAACACCAGAATTTAAACTATGAACATTAATATAATTTCACTAATAGTTAATGGCCTAAACAACCCAATTAAAAAAGTGCTTATACAACTGAAACATCAAGGTGGAGATATTGTATGGGCTCAGAACAGTCTCATAATACACACATGCACACAGAAGAATTCACACTTGTATTTCATGATCCGCAAAAGGATTCACACTTGTATTTCCGGATCCACACTTGTGTTTTTCAATGCACACACAAATGTGTTCAGTTTCATATACATGTAAATAAAATCCAAATACAGAAAAAAGTTTTACATATGTATTTTTGATCCTCACATATTTGTTTTCCTTTTAAAACCGCTGCACCTGCAAACACAACCCGCTTTCTGTGCATGGATCGCTGTGCATTCGTGTGTGGGTTTTTTGAGACTCCCCTGACGGTCACCCGATTCGTACTTGTAATTGTTTCTATCTATAGCCAATCAGATGTCTCCTCAATTCTAAGCCAATCACATGAGCGCGCCCCCACGAGGGTAGATTTCTTGCGTTCATGACGTAGCGCTTCATGTACGCATTTTGCGCTGTCCGGAGCTGACAGGTCCATGGAGCCTGCCTGCAAGCGCTAATCTCAGGACACTTCCACTCTCAGTACATTGCCACTTTCCGAGCAGGAAATGCACGCAAATACAAGCCTTTATATTATTAAGGTACAGTGCCACTTTCCGAACCATTAATGAATGCTTGTGTACATAAAAACGGCAGGCAAAACCGTTTTAAATGTGTGTGTTTCCTGTATGGCGAATACAGCTGCTTTATTTATGTCTGTATGAAGTTGTTGTGAGTGTGGAGGGAGCAGCTACAGGTTAGCTTAGCCTAATCGATCAGTGCACTATGAAGCCAGTGGTAGACAGTGAACTGTCAACGGGGGGGAGCCCCGCCGGTCATTATCGGCCGATATTCACTCTTAATAGTTTGATCGGTGCTCTCTATAAAGGCCGATCAGGAGAGCTGGATCTGATCGATATGGACATAAATGCGAGTGAAGTTTTAGCGAGCTGCATGAGAAACTGACGGGCTGTCAGGAGAGAGGGAGGGAGAGAGGAAAAGAGATGATCCTTACTCCCGTGTTATTAGCCATATCCGGTCATAGTCCGGTAATTACCTGCTAACGGTAACTCTGCTACACAATTCTTCTTCTTCTTCTTCTTCTTCTTCTTCTTATTGAAACATGACCGGTAAGTTTCAAATTTGTCCGGTAAAATAAATTCTGTCCGCGGAAACCCTGCTCCGGACAGCGCAAAATGCGTATATGAAGTGTCATGAACGCAATAAATCATACCCTCGTGGGGACGCGCTCATGTGATTGGCTTAGAACGAAGGAGACATCTGATTGGCTATAGATAGAAAAAATTACAAGTACGAATCGGGTGACCGTCAGGGGAGTCTCAAAAAACCCACACACGAATGCACAGCGATCCATGCACAGAAAGCGGTTTGTGTTTGTAGGTGCAGCGGTTTTAAAAGGAAAACAAATATGTGAGGATCAAAAATACATATGTAAAACTTTTTTCTGTATTTGGATTTTATTTACATGTATATGAAACGGAACCCATTTGTGTGTGCATTGAAAAACACAAGTGTGGATCCGGAAATACAAGTGTGAATCCTTTTGCGGATCATGAAATACAAGTGTGAATCCTTCTGTGTGCATGTGTGTATTATGAGACTGTTCTGAGCCCATAATATTGTATTTATGCAAGAACACATCTGTCAAAAGTACTGTGTGTGTGTGTGTGTGTGTGTGTGTGTGTGTGCGTGCGTGTGTGCGTGCGTGTGTGTGTGTGTGTGTGTGTGTGTGTTCAAAAGAAACCTGCATCGCTTTAGACGTCTAGTCCCAGCTCCAGGTGTTAAACTGGACCTTTTTTGTTTCAGGGAAAGAAAGCGGAGCTGAAGCGCTTCATCATCGAGTTAAGCAAAGAGTTCTCCATCCTGTCTCAGTTCACCAGCTTTGTGGCCATCGAGGAAAGGGTTTGTTAAATGAAAAACATTATTTATTTATATTTGTCCACCTTTCCACCCCAGATTTGAAGGTTTTGTAGCACCCAACCATCCCCTCTACCTTGTTTTAGGACTTAGAACAACCAGAGGAAAGCTTTACAGACATCCCAAAGCTACTCGCCGAGGAAGATGTGGACTTCCTCCCCTACATGGGCTGGATTTCTCCTCAGGACACTGAAGAGGAGGACTCTGAGGATTATTCTGAAATGATGTCCGAATGCTTAAGGGTAAAGTCACATTGTGTAATCAGGGGACAAGAAAAAAGTATCTTTACTTGTTATGATTTACTAATTGACAATATCCTTTCTGCCTTCGTCTCTCCGTTGTAGGAGTGTGGTGATGATAAGGTGTTAGGGTTCCAAGGGACCTCTGAGGATGAGTCTGAGGATGAGTCTGAGACTCTGGTTGGGTCTGTGTTTCAAAGTGGTCCAATAATCGAAATGAAGGTAATGTCACATTGCATTATAATAATGAGGAAACAAAAGAGTTTTCTTTTTGTAATTTAAAGATGCCCTAAAATCCCAAACTTCCCTCCTGAGAAAAATAAAGCAATTGTTTGTACATTTAAGCATGTAAACATGTGACAGGAGAGGCACAAAATACAAATATGAACCTGAAAATGAGGATAATATGTCCTCTTTAATAAATAACACTTCAATGAGTTGCATTTGTCTCCCTTTGTGCTTTGTATGATAGGGGACTTATTCCCGTAAAATGTTCAGCAACAAATTGCTGCTTCACATTTGCTATTTCAAAGCGACAATAAATGCATCGCTTTCAGATAGAGCTGTTATTTGTAATGCATTGACTGTTAAAACTAAACAAAAACATACCAATTGGCAGGTTAACAAATCCTTAATGAGTGTCCTCGTGTGGCGTCACTCACATGTTATTAGAGAGGCAGGACAATGCAATACTGCTCCATTCATTTTAGTTTGAAAACAATTCAATGTGTCCAGTTATAATTTGTAAGAAAAAGGTTTTGACTTTTTTGTTGTTTCTGTGTTTTTTAGCATGGGGCCTCTCCCTTAAAACTGAAAAAAAGAAGAAGAGGGGACGTGAACACATGGGCACCAGCATCCCTGTGTGGCATTGAAGTAACACAAGATTCTTTTGAAACGCCTCTAGTGGATGAAGAAATGCATTTTGATTCATTATGCTCATTTCTTCCTCCACCACCTCCTCCTTTCCACATGAAGGAACTCGGCCATAAATCTCCTTTCCGTGCGCCTCTCCCTCAGATCAGTGGTCTTCAAAGCGGCTCATTTCATCGTCATGGACTAATGGGAGCAGAAGTTCCCCGACACCACGGCATCATGTTCGGTGCACCGCAAGCTGCAACTCACTCAGATGTGTTGATGAAGATGAGCGATGATGGGCCTGAACCTCCTGTCACAGGGAAAGCATTTTCATTCTTAACACAGAGAAATTCACTGTCCTATTCTGCTCATTCACTTCAACGCCAGTCCACCTCTCGAGACCCTCCAGCTCCCCCTCCTCCTACTCTTGGTCCAGCTCCTCCGCTAGCTGAAATTTTACTTGGCTCTAATGCCATGTCGGATCAGCGCAGTGGGTCACTGGTAGGACGCGCTTTCGGGAACAGAGCGCTATCACGTTCCAATCAAACAGGAACCTCCTCTGGTCTCTGGGATGCAGGGAGGTTTGCACCCCAGGAATGCAGCTTGAGTGTTTCCACCTCAACAACTGAAACAACTGAATGTGCGACTGGATCTCCTGTGAAAGGTCAGTCAGGATGGTTTTCCAGTAGTGCAGAATCTTTATTCTCCAGACAAAGAGCAAACTTATTTTCTGATGAACAAGAAATGTCAGGCTTTGGTCTCAGGGGTTGTGCGCTTGAAGAAGAACCCGTTAGACAAGATCAGCCAATGAAAGATGCCCCTCCTGCTCCACTTGATGAAGCATCAGATGTCCATGTAGAGCGACGTATGCACAAATCCAGAGGTAGACCATTAGCAAAGCCTGAAGAAGATGGTCCCTTATATGGAAGTTCTTGGGGAGGACAGGTCCACATGAAGGAACTCGCCCAAAAATCTCCTCTCCGTGCGCCTCTCTCTCAGATTAGTGGTCTTCAAAGGATCACTCTCCGTATGCCTCCCCCTCCTCTCTCATTTCATCCTCGAGAACAAATAGCAGCAGAAGTTCCCCAACGCCAAAGCGCCATGTACGGTACAACGCGAGCTGCAACTGATTCAGATGTGATGATGATGATGATGAACAACCGTGCGACTGAGCCTCCTGTCACAGGGAAAGCATTTTCATTCGGAAATGCACTGTCCGATTCTGCACATTCACTTCAACGCCAGTCCACCTCTCGAGACCCTCCAGCTCCCCCTCCTCCTACTCTTGGTCCAGCTCCTCCGCTAGCTGAAAGGTTTTCTAGTAGTGCAGCATCTTTATTCTCCACAGCTCAGCTCTTATTTTCTGATGAACAAGAAATGGAAGGCTTTGGTCTCGGGGGTTGTGCGCTTGAAGAACAAGATCAGCCAATGAAAGATGCCCCTCCTGTTTCACTTGATGAAGCATCAGATGTCGATGTAGAGCGACGGAGGCACAAATCCAGAGATAGATCATCAGCAATGCTTGAAGAAGATGAGCCCTTATGTGGAAGTTCTTGGGGAGGACGGGTCCGGAGTAAAGGTCTTTTTAAGTCTTCCAGGATGCGTCAATCAGCTGATCAACCATTCGAGTGAGTCCCTAAACGTTTTTTGTTTGAATAGATAAGCTCCTACTAAGAAAACTGTGATAACTTTTGAATAACAGTCGTTGACAAAAAATGCTCTACTTATTTTTAAAGGCTTTGGTTGACAAAATGAACATAGATGAATTCATCTGCATGTTAACTGAAAAGTATTGTTGTAAATCCTCTGATTATGTACATGTATGCATGTGGAAAAAAAAGAAAGTCAGTATATGTGAGTATTTATGTTTACATTCTTTGATTCATGTGTGTGTTTTTTAGTACACAACTTCCAGTGTTCTCTAAGAGTGTCCTGTTGTGATCATGTCGTTTCAGGAGGAAGTCAGCAGACCCTGAAGCGCTGAAGCTCAGATGGACAGAGATCTTCCAAATGCAGCATTCGGTAAGAAATATTCAAAATGAACGTATGCGGCTGTTCTCGAGTGCAGACATGGACCTTTTATTTTCCTGCTGACAGGATAAAATGACAGCCCTTTGAATGGTTTATCAATTCTGATCTTTTGATAATTTCTTTGTGAAACCCATTTGGGATGATTAGCTGTCAGAAGGCTGCTTTGCACTTCTTGTTAAAGGAGAGGTGTCATGCTTTTCCGGTTATTACCCGTCCCCTTGTGTGTTATGAAGGTTTTTATGCATGTAAACGGTATGCAGAGTCAAAACCCTCAAAGTACACCCTGGAGCGAGTAAAACTCTAGCACAGAAAATACCTCCCCAAAACGCCTCGTTGGAGATACGTCATTGTCCATTTGATTCTTCCGGGTACGGCTTGACATCATGCCGTACCCGGAACGAAATGGACCAATCCGTGGAGCCGTTACGTTACGTCCACGGAGCCGTTAAGTTAAGCCCCCGCTTATTGTTCCATATTGACCAATCCACGGACTTCCTCACACACACATCTGTGTGCAGGGAGCAGGCAACTCAGCTGATTTCTCCTCCCTGGCTGCAGGCTGATAACAGACAGTTGGGATGGCGGCGAAATTCTCTCTGCAGACCCATTCTCACAGCGTTTATCAACCTTTTTCTTACTCAATATCAAGCCACACTTATTGTTTTTACTTCGGCTGTGACTTTGTGTGTGCTCAGGATGAGTTTGGCTGTGTTTCGCTATGTATCGCTAACAAGGAAACAACACCTCCACGGAGCTCAGCGCGATTCACAACGTCCCGACCAATCAGAGCACACTGTGCTCACAGGGAGGGTGGGGGCTGGAGCTTTGGGAGCTACAACGAGCCGTTAAAGGCAGAGAGTGAAATTCAGTGAATACAAGTAGTTTACAGAGATGCTGTATGAGAAACCAATGTGAGTTTGGAAAAATGCACAGTATAAATCTATTTTAGTAGACCTCAACAATGGAATTATGATCAGTGGAAATGGCCATGACACCTCTCCTTTAAAACACTGTAACTATAGCGATCCAGCAGTTAGAGATATGTTTACTGACAGCGGGGCAAATTTGGGTTTCAAAAGCAGTCTTATGCAACTTGGCGATGTTCAGTATTATCGTACAAGCATTTTGGAAAAATACTTTAGATGCTTTTAAAAGTACTAATACCTAACTGGAAATACTCCACTCCTAATCATGCATTCAAAAGCTTACTGAAGTAAAAGTATGTAAACATTATCAGTTAATTGCATTAATTAATCTGGTGGGAGGGAGAGGAGGAAGAATCAGAAACGGGTTTATCACCAGGTAGGTTGACACGTAAAGTAAAAGGTTGTAATAACATATATCTTCAGTGAGTGTTTTACTATTAAATGGTGTTTTTTGGATGTATTTACTGCTGCAGTAATGCTTATGTTAATGTGTATTTTTTTTAGCTGGCACTTTAACCATGGGGGCGTAATTAATTACCACTTTATGAAGGCAATGAACATTTTATTTGTTTCTTTGTGTTGCAGGAGGGTTACTGGCAGTTCACCGCAGAGCTGGGTGAGCTGATTAATTTGGATGTGGACCTCTTCGCCAACGTGTTCCTGAAAAACAAAGGCATCCAGTCTCTGGGTGAGGACTCTCAGAAACTGATGCAGCCTTTAGAGTGGAAATATATTTGTCATTTCAGATCATTTCCACATCTTTCTGTGGCCAAAAGATTGGGTTTACACGTGGAGATAGAAGTATCATTCGCCGAATAGTGCCAACATGTTCTTTAAAGTTTAATATAACCTTCCAAGCAATATAATATTAACCAATCAGACGAGAATGTCATATTTGTATTTATGAGTTTTTAGTTTTTAAATCATTAAGATGAGTTTAAAAATGACCTGTTAATGACTAAGTCTCTTTCTTTGATTCAAGTCAAACGTATATTAAAAGGTTTTTGGTGAAAAGTTGAATATTGAATGTAAAATCAGTATTCAAAGTAAGTAAGTTGCTAGAGCCATTACCAGTGTTAATACTCAAGAGAAGAAGAGAAGAATAACCTCAAAACTGCCACATTTTATACATTTTAGTGTGTGAAAATATACAGTCTAGGGTCAAATTGCAAACAGTTATCATGCCACGTCTCTGCTTTTTAGAGACTTATATCAAAACCCAACTTTTCGCCACAAGTATATTTCATGATAGTTTGGATTTTATTTGTCCAGGGTTTGAGATTAACATCTGCTTCACAATGGAGATGTAAGAGTGGGGGCTCCAAGTGGAAAAATACACTTACAAAAATGCGTCTGTGACATCTCTGTCCACAAAAAATGTGCCTGTCTTTCAGTTTTCATTGAGGACTCTCATAGTTGCACTGCTTTTCGTTTTAAGTTTTACAGATATCTCAGCCAGCATGATGAGTTTGTTTCCCACGGATGTTAAAAGCATGTACTGTACTGTGTGTGTTGTGTAGGTGTGAAGGCCCATGCAGACATCCTGAAGCTGGTGGCGACTCTGCTGGTTCTGCAGCTGATGAGAGAGGAGAAGATAGAGGAGGGCAAACTGCTCCGCACCCTGTTCTGCCTGGACGACTCCCCTCTGCCCAGGTCTGTCCAAAACTTAATCGAACAACATGAAGATCCTAAATAAAAACACCTAAACTGATTCCAAGCTTGAAGGCTTACACTGCAACCAAAGTACAAAGGTGTGAAAAGAGGAAATGAAACAGGAAGAGAAACACTTCACAACACAACAAAGCATTTATCTCTCAATTCATAACCTTGAGATGCCCATTGACTTTTAAAACACTCAAATATGTTGTTCTCGTTTGCAAAAGATCCAATATGTATTGCAATGTTCTTCTCTGGGTGATTTTTTGAGACTAGCTGTCACTATCTCCAGCGTGGCAACCTGTTTTCATATCGACTTTCTTCTTCTTCTTCCAGGCCTGAGCGTTGGGAGGAGGTGAAGAGGGCGGTGGACTGGGTCTGCTGGGCGGACCGGCAGTACCCGTGTGTCTACAGCCGGCTGGAGTTTGGATTCAGCTGGGAGTCCTCCACCCGCCAGCTGCTTGGCTTCGAAGGCCTCCCTCCCTTCTCCGCTCTCAGGGGGCTGAACCTGCAGAAGACCGTCCCCCAGGTTCTGGTCCACTGAGCAGGATAGTGAGAGGGAGGTTCATACCCCTTTTGCTTTTTATGGGGATTACATAATCTATTAGATGTATTTGTAGCCCTTTTATTCAGTCAGTGTGTTTACATGTTCTTAGGTAGATACAATTGGCTTACTGCAGACCTGATTTATTAAACTTAAACTGCTTTGGGTCTACATATCGCCTTTTCTGCACGTCAGCATCTTTTTTCAAATGTATTCCAATAAGGCGAGAGCTTATACTGTTTTACACCGTGGTCTTCAGAGAAAGAGTTGCACCCCTCGTCTTTCTTCTGACCGTTCCACCGTTTTGGTCAAGTTGAAAATATTTAAACTTTCCAGAAAAACGCTGTTGACGTCACTGAAGGAAATGACTGTCTCACTTTCAGACAGTAACCATCATAACAAAGACCAAAGAGCCTGTTTGTTGGAGCAGATCTGCCAGTGAGTGTGTGGCTTTTATCGTACCGTATACATATCATCCTCCTCACTTTAAGGCTGTCACACTGAAGCTGTGAGGCTCAATCACACAAAATGTGAGAACAAGCATCCTCCTGTTTGTTCTCATAGACACAATGTCAAACAAATACATAGCACAAATCGATAATAAAAACCAAGGGGTGAGGCTAGTCTGTAATACAACAATGGTGATACAGTGTCAAGATGCTGTCATAGGAACAACAAAACAACCCTTGGAGCGTTATGTGGACACGCCCTTATTCGGGGAAAGAGGATTTAAAGGCTAGATTACATTTCATGGCCTGATACTTATCATCTTGTTCACATGCATGCAAGTCCACAACAATGCCTTCAGACAGAGATAGCATCATTGTGACCAGTGATAAAAGGGAAGGTCACGATGAGTAGCAGTCTATTTGCATGTTTGTAATCATCCCATCAAAAATTAGTCAAAACCAAAACTAATTCCGCAGCTACTACTTCCTCTAAATATTTTACTGGTAAATGTAGTCACAGCTGTCTTCCCACAGTTGAACACACAGTCACATGTTATTATAAAATAAGGAAGCAGTGCCTCTGTGCCCAAAAAGGGTCAGTTTCTTGGGAACATCTTGGACTGACCTGCTGAAGGTGTGTGTTGCTTCTCTGAGTAACCTTGTACATGTGAATCTTTTTTTGTCTTGTGTTTCATTTATAACTGCCTTTTAAGCACCTTTGATTATTTTAGTGTAGGATATAGGATTTTCTTTCACAGTATATGCAGTTTTATATCATGGTAGCAGTATAAATCAGGGTAGAGTATAGTATTCTGTAAATTCAATAAGAAGTGGATTAAAACAACCTGTCTTTGGATTGTTTTCCTCTTTTATTTGGAACTATAATATTAACAAAATCAACCGACTCACGAGAGACAAAGCCAAAGACTTAAAACCTTTAAAATTCTGAATGTGAAACACGTTTTAAGGTTAAACGATGCAAATAACTTTGACTTTGAAATAAATATCAGTGTGACCTCAGTCAATGCAATATGAAGCACCATAAACATCCCGCAAGTTTTCATTTCAATATATACCAAAATAAACAAGACTTTTACTGCAGGATTTGCTCATGTTTCATTCAAAAAAGTAAAGTAAAACTCCCTTTTATTTGAAGTACATTACAGTACTCGAGTAAATGTGTAGCTAAATCAGGAAATGGCAACTTTTTTATACAAGATAACACTTATTATAAAAATATGGTGGGTGTATTACATGTTCTCGGACAAGATAAAGCTCTTGCACTCAACAACTTGCTGTTATCAGATAAAAAGCAGCTTTACCACTTCCCATTTTTTCTTAAAGGTCCCCGATCATGCAAAATGCACCTTTGATGTCTTTTATACACACATATGTGTCCCTGGTGTGTAAGGAGACTCACAAAGTGTCCGAATACAACCCTCTCTCTTTTCCTCCGTACCCAAATCTCTAAAAACGGGGGTACACGGAGCTGATCCAGATGTGCTGCGGTCATGACGACATTACTAAAATCAGGGCTGGCTTTACACCCACGGCACTATCAGAAACGTCGCTATCAGAAACAATGCCCAACTATTTTGGAAGTAATATGGTCAGTGTTTACATTAGCAAGCATCGCTAACACTCAGAGCTAACGCTGTACTGGAGAGAATATGTGTAAAGAAGCAGGATATAAAAAGGTACTCACCACTATATGTGTTTATGTAATCATGAACAAAAATAAAATCTTTCAAAAGGTTCCCCAGTTGTCTTCATTTGTTTTCTTGTGTTTATCAGCATTCATTTAAGATCCCTGCTTTCACAACAATGTCAGCTAATACTCTTTTAAACTTGTCAAAGAGAGCTTTACGGGTGTGTTTTAATTTAATCATGTTTTAATTTAATTATGGTCATATCAATAAAGCTTATTTGAGTTTGTCTTGACTCAGCGTTAGAAAAATATAGCATTTCCTTATATTTGTATTGTTTTTTTTAGATAGATAATTATCTGACACAGCAATGAAACTACTCTTAACACTTGAGAGTTGTGACTTCCTCAAAAAGACAACATTTTTAGAAATTGAAACCAACCAACACACTTTCCTCAGTTACATACTTCAATGCTTGACATTCCCATGAGCGATGGAGGAAATCTATGTCAACCTTGACGATGTCAAACCCCTAAGCTCAAGATCATCAACAATACAAGAAGGTAAGGGTCAGTTAGACAGAGTGAGCTGTGGATTTTGGATTTATTAATCTCCCTGGTTTTCTCTGTGTTCAGGTCCCAGGAGATTTCCCCCAGCGTCTGTTCTCGGTCTGGGGCTGCTGGTTGTTTTCCTGCTGGCTGGACTCATCGGCCTCGCTGTCCACCGTGAGTCTTATTTTTAATATATATATTATATTCGTTTCATAAGTCATTTTGAACGTGTGATTTTAAGGAGCAATATTCTGCTCTGAAAGATGCACATTTGATCAAAACATCTATTGGTTTTCTATTTTTCTCCTTGGGCGAAATTAGATAACATTGACTTTGGTTTGTGTTAGTATGATTGCATCAGGTAATTTAAGAAACATCTATTTTCATTCCAGACCATAACTCAGTAGGTGGTGCAGCTGCAGATCTCTCCGCTGTCAAAGCAAACCTGACTGAGCGTCTCCAGGCCAGAGATCAGCTGCTCTACTCAGTGACTGAAGAGAGAGACACACTGAAGGCCAACCTCACTGAAAAGACCAGAGAGGTGGACAGGCTTCAGAGTTTGTCCAAACAGAGTGAGTGCTTTTCTGTGACGGTTTTGCACAGGGCTGGGCTATATGGATTATATCAATTGTCATGATATTTTTGAGCAAATACCTCAATATTGCATCGATATTCTAAGGTTGGCAATTGCTGCTTTGATAAAATAACATGAGCGTACCAGAGAATGGCATTGGAAATGTTATAATGTGATTGAACAAAGATATAATGTAAATTTAAAAAGGTCGAAGACAAAAGTGGTGTTTTTTTGGTGTCGAACCCTGGGCCCTTAAACTTAAAACCAATGCTTAGACCTCTAAGCTGCCCAGGCATTTTTTTAAAGTCATGTTATGACCGGCTCGTAGGCCACAACAAAGGAGAGGGAATTCAGCTAGAACAAACTCACATTTATTAAAGTAAATAAAAAAGTCACTGCAGTGGAGTTCGATGAACAATATATTAACTTAAAATGAGCCAGGCTGGGCGAGGGGAAGGGGATCCAGGAGAGAGTCGGAGAGTGGACAGGCAGCCGGGCTTAAGTGCGTTCTGAGGCACTGGCCTACCCATAATGAACACATGAACAAATGTCCTTTCCTGGTGGGTATCACGGGCACAGCTCTACAATGATGTCTTCATACTAGAATCATAAAAATGTGAAAAGACAACATGCCAACTTACTATATGAGGAAATCCAAAGTCTAACAACTTATCTATTCTTGTTTGACAATATCAATATATTGCCAAACCCTTCTGCATAAAAGTGTAGAACACCAAACTTATTTTAATCTCAGTGCTTTTTTTTTCACATACATTTTTTATGTGTACAGCCCTTTAAAAAATCGTTGTAACATCGTTTTAAAAGCTAAAAAGCTTCAGTCCCATCACTTCACATAATTATAAGATTGTGAATAACTAAATATCTCTTTATAAGGATGTTTTAAAAATGTTGACACCTTGTATTCTGCACATTTTTAACTGCTCTCTTTTTACAGGTTCTGTCCCTGAAACTGCGCTGGTTCAGCCATTTCTTAAAAAGCCCAACATTTTTAGACATATTTCCAAGCTCCCATTTTTAGATAAAGTTTTAGAAAAAACTGTAGCAGAATAATTGTTAGCTTTTATCAATGACAACAATATTTTAGAAAAATTCTAATCTGGCTTTAGAAAAATCATAGTACTGAAACGGCTCTTCTTCAAGTTTGTAATGACTTGTGTGATTTTATTTTTAAGCTTATTATATTTATTTTCTATGTGTTTTACTGTTTACTGTTTTTATGTTTACATGCTGTTGTTTAATTATCTTGCTCACCATGTATTTTTATGTTATAGCACTTTGTAACTACGTTTTGAAAGGTGCTATATAAATAAAGTGTATTATCATTATTATTATTATTTATATGGTGATTTAGAAGATACATTTCTTCATCTTCATCTTCTGATGTCATGTCGGTCAAAATTACCGCCTTTATTGCAGAATTCTTTTATTTGATTTAATAAGCAAATGGACTTATAGTACCGTGTAAGGAATCATAACAGACTCTTAAAATGATGCAGAGTGAGAGAAGTTTTACCCTTTGTCCCATGCAATGATACCGATCTATCAGAATAGATCTTGGTTATCATCAACAATGCTTATTGAATATGTATTTTTTTAAAGCACACAAGGGACAAGAATGCTCTCAAGAGTTGAATATTTCAGCAAGGAGTCAACTAAATCTTACAACTCAAAAGAAGGTAATAAGGCATGTCTTGTCTTTTTTTGCAGAGAAAACTTGTCCTGCAGGATGGAGGATGGTCGGTTGTGTCTGTTATCTCCTCTCTACGGAGAAAGCTTCTTGGGAACAAAGCAGACAAAACTGCAGAGCCAGAGGAGCAGATCTGGTGATCGTAGACAGTAATGAAGAACAGGTAATGTGTAATGCTTTATCAATTTATTGTTTTACTTATCTGAATCAGAATCAAAATATAAAGGTTGTTTAATAGGTGCTGTGACGGCCCCAGAGCCTGTGTGCAGGTGTATTACAGGTCTTACCTGGAGCTGAAGAGGCCAATCAGCGCGATCGTGGACACCTGGCCGGAGCCGAGGTGCTATTAAGCCCAGCTGCCCGGAGTCACGTGGCGGTCCTGACTCTCTCCAAGCCGGCTGCAGAAGGACTCTCGCTCTGGTCCTTTCCCCTCGTCCGTCTTCTCCTGTTCTTGGTGTTTGCTCTTTGATGATGATCAATAAAGTGCCGTGGTTTTTGGAACCTTTGAACACCTCTCTTTGTTTTCCTGTTGTGGCCAACGGGCCGGTCATAACAGTGCCAATGTACATATTAAATAATTAAAATTAACAAAACTTTGATTTTATATTTGTTATATGGTGGTTTTATCTATCATTTTGCCTATTTATTACTTATCTACTTCACAGCTGTGTGTTATCGTTACTGGCTTTTATGCACAATGAGTTATTTTACTTTTGATACTTCAAGTTTATTTTTATGCTAATGCCAGAGATATGTACCATGAATTAATGCTTTGACAAGTCTGCAGACAAGACGGCAGGCGAAAAGCTTTTAAAATGCGTGTTTTCTGAATGGAATCGGATCCATCAGGCTAAACTAACCTGTAGCTGCTCCGTCCACACTCACAACAGCATCATACAGACATAAATAAAGCAGCGACTGTATTCGCCATGACATAGACAGTCTGTGGTTTGTACTTGTTTAACTTTTGTCCAGTTTCTGAACAGATATAAGGAGCTGTGAGCTCTGAGTGTGTGCTAACAGCTAACGGTTGATGTGTTGGGACATGTTGCGCTGTCAGGTGCTGATCAATCACGAAGCGTCATTTCTTGACTGGCAGCAAAAACAACCAATCACAGCAGTGCTTCTCTGGCTGGCTCTGTCCAATCACAAACAAGAAATGTTCTCCCTAAAGGAATACCCTTTCCGTCCAATGTGAAATGCTGTGGTGTTTTCTGAAATGCTGTTGTGTTTTGTGAAATGCTGTTGTGTTTTGTGAAATGCTGTTGTGTTTTGTGAAATGCTGTTGTGTTTTGTGACATGCTGTTGTGTTTTGTGAAATGCTGTTGTGTTTTCTGAAATGCTGCGGCGTTTTGTGAAATGCTGTTGTGTTTTCTGAAATGCTGTAGCGTTTTTTGAAATGCTGCGGCGTTTTCTGAAATGCTGTTGTGTTTTCTGAAATGCTGTAGTGTTTTCTGAAATGCTGTGGTGTTTTCTGAAATGCTGTAGTGTTTTCTGAAATGCTGTGGTGTTTTCTGAAATGCTGTTGTGTTTTCTGAAATGCTGTTGTGTTTTCTGAAATGCTGTGGTGTCTTGCACTTCCGGGCCACCGTATAAAATAACAAAAATGTGGTTATTTACATAAACTATTGATATTGCAAATACATTTTTTAAAGGGAAGACGGACATGGATATGACCCATGTGATTTGCAATATCCCAATATATCGTATCGCAATACTTAGCATATCGTAGAATCGCAATACTATCGTATTGTGGCTTAAAGGTGGGGTAGGTAATTCACTTCAGAAACACTCTTTGTTATATTCCATAGAATGCTCTTAACATCCCGATAGCAATGAATACATGAAATGCTTTGACAATAAATACATAAAAAAATGTCATCCGTGGAAGCCGTGGCGTTGTAAAAAGCACGACCAATTATTTTAGCCGGCCGGGCTAAAATAACGTTGGGTTACGTATTAGGGATGTGAACAATTAATCGAATATTCGAATATTCGAAATTATTCAGGTGTTCGAATAATTATTCAGGTATTCGAATGAGTTATGAATATTTTTATTAATCTTTTTTTTTTTTTTTTTTTTTTGGGAGGGATGCCTAAATTGATTACATATTATCAAATTGAATAATTCAATGTATACGACAGTGCCATAGCTAAATGTGTTGGGTGACGTCTAAAGGTGTGTCCGCTCACCGGTCCCTCACAGCGGGCAGAGCTGCAGGTGCTGATCTCTCTCTCTCGCGTCCGGTACTTCACTCGCGTTTATGTCCAAATCCATCAGATCTAGCTAGTTCTAGCTAATGATATGGCTGCTGCCCCTCCCTACACGCAAATCACGCAGACTCAAACCTCATCTTATGCCCAAATGCGGCGCAAATGCGCTCCGCAGCCGTTGCGAGGACAGTTCATGAGCGTGCTCCCCCGCCCCCTGTCAACACTCGCGACACATGAGTGGCCAGCCTAAACAACAATAAGCGCTGCTTGGCTTGGCAACCGTGTGTGGCGGCAAAGTACATTTTGACAGGAGAGATTTAGTTTTGCCGGTATTCAACATATTTTACCAGTCATAGTCCGGTAATTATTTACACTCTAAGAAGAGTCCTACACAACAGACATGGCGTCAAAAAGGAGTAATGTGTGGAAATATTTCGACCAGGTTAGTGAGTGCGGTGTAGAGTGCAAACTATGCCAAATTAAACTTATATATATACATATACCTTGCTATACCTGCAACCTCCGTTCCAGCTGAGAGGGTCTTCTCTACAGCTGGCCTGATTGTGAATCACCTCCGCACATGAAAGCTGTAGGCCTATAGCTGTCAAACTGTGATCACCAGTTCAATACATTTGACAAATTCGACTTGGTTTCTATACTTATTTGAACATGTATTTATTTATTTCCAAAAGTTATTGAAAAAAAAGTTTACTAAAAAATGTTTTTGCATTTTCTTTTTTTACCCAATTTTTTTTTATAGGATATGTACATTTCGGTTAACCGGTTAACCGTTTTTTGGGTGGTCGAATATTCGATTATACATTTGCTTTCAAATTCCCATCCCTATTACGTATTGTAACCCTTGTTATATTAGCACAGGCGGAGCCCTCCACTGGACTCTATCAAATCAAATCAAATCAGGTTTTATTTATATAGCACATTTAAAAGCGATTTTTGGTCGAGCCAAAGTGCTGTACATGTAATAAAAACACAATTACTACAAACACAGTAAACGACAATAAATTACAACAGATATATCTTAAAAACAAAATAAAAATAAAACACACAAAAGTCAGGAGTCGTGCTCCGCTCTAACTAGAAAGCCAGAGAGAAGAAGTGTGTTTTTAGTTTAGATTTAAAAACCCCTAGGGTCTGGGCCGACCTCACATGGAGGGGCAGAGTGTTCCAGAGCCTAGGGCCAGCTGCTGCGAAGGCTCGGTGCCCTCTGGTTTTTAGCCTGGTCTTGGGCACTACCAGCAGCAGCTGGTCAGCAGACCTTAAAGCTCTGGCTGGGGTGTAGCGCTGGAGCAGTTCAGCTATATAGGCCGGAGCCAGCCCATTTAGTGCTTTAAAAACAAATAAAAGGATTTTAAAATCAATTCTGAACCGAACTGGAAGCCAGTGTAGTGAGGCCAGAATAGGGGTGATGTGGTCGCGCTTTTTGTGGCCAGTCAGCAAACGTGCAGCAGCGTTTTGGACTAGTTGTAGGCGTTTAATTGAGGCCTGGTCCATACCCACATACAGAGCGTTACAATAGTCCAGTCTCGAGGTTACAAAGGCGTTAATAACCCTTTCTAAGTCATTAAAAGATAAATACGACTTGGTTTTGGCCAATAGTCTTATTTTAAAAAAGCAGGATTTTACTACGGTGCTGACCTGCTTGTCGAATTTAAAAGTGTCAGTGAAGGTCACTCCAAGGTTCATGACCGAGGGGAGGATGTTTTTTTTTATAGAGCCCAGAATATCAACCGGAGAGGCTGGAGGTTGCGGTCCAAAAAAGATGACCTCAGTCTTGCTCTCGTTGAGGTTGAGAAAGTCTTTGCTCAGCCAGGATTTTATCTCTGCTAAGCAGTCCATCAACTGTAGTGAGTGTTTGCCATTTGCTTTGAGAGGCAGATAGATCTGTACATCGTCGGCGTAGCAGTGGAAGGGAATGTTATGTTTTGTGAGAATTGAACCTAGGGGCAGTATGTACAGTAGAAAAAGGATGGGGCCCAGAATCGAGCCTTGGGGAACCCCACAGGTAAGAGGGGCTTTGGCAGAGGAGAAGGCACCTAGCTGCACTGAGAAGCTACGGTCTGTCAGGTAGGACCTGAACCATGCAAGGGCAGAGCCTGTGATGCCAGCGGACTGTTCAAGCCGTGACAGCAGGATGCTATGGTCCACAGTGTCAAAGGCGGCTGTCAGGTCTAACAGCACCAAGACAGCTGGGCTACCTGAGTCGGCGGCTAGGAGCAGATCATTAAAACTCTTAAAAGGGCTGTTTCAGTGCTGTGCATGGGTTTGAAGCCAGACTGAAACTTTTCATGGATTCCATGGATGGTTAAAAAAGACTGCAGCTGGGCGTAGACTACTCGCTCCAGGGCTTTTGATAAAAAAGGTAGCTGGGAGATGGGCCTAAAATTTGCGAGAATGGAGGGGTCGAGATTTTTCTTTTTAAGGAGTGGCTTAACCACGGCATGTTTGAAGGCAGCTGGGACACATCCTGAGGTAAGAGAGGTGTTTAAAAGTAATAAAATACTTGCTCCAACTGAATCAAAAACATCTCTGAGAAGGCGAGAGGGAATGCTGTCTGAGGTGCAGTTTGTCGGCCGCAGGTGCTTGACCACATCCGAGAGAGCAGAGAGGGATACAGGCTCAAAGTGGTCGAGGACAGCAGGGCACAGAAAAGGAGCAGGATCTGGGGTAGCACTAGTGTGGGCTAGCCTAAGAGCAGATACCTTTTCAATAAAAAATGTAAGAAACTTATCACAGAGAGTAGTCGATGGGACAATAGAAGAAACATCACAGGGATTAATGATCGAGTTGAGGACATTAAAAAGAACCTGAGGTTTATGGCTGTTTTTGGAGAATAACAGAGAAATGTGCTCTGTTTTGGCTGCTTTGACTGCCGTCTGGTAGTCAGAAAGGCAAGCACAAAGGATTTCTAGGGAGACATGGAGTTTATCCTTTTTCCATTTTCTCTCTGCACACCTGCAAGCGCCTCTGAGAGCACGAGTACAGTCATTGAGCCACGGCTCTGATATAACTTTGGTGCGTCTAAACGTAAAAGGAGCAACAGAATCCAGTATTAGTGTGCATGTCGAGTCAAACATGGAGATAAGCTCATCAGCATTAAAAGCACAGTTCACATCTAATTTACAGATCGGAGAAGCATTAAAAACATCAGAGAACTGTGAGGCAGTCAAGGGGTTAATCGAACGCAGACGACGCGCCGGGGCACGTGATTCGACTCCTGCGGAAGGGATCAAGGTTGTAAACAGAACCGGTAAATGGTCTGAGATACGCGTTGCTGCACATATTTCATCCACAGATACAGACAGTCCAAACGATAATACTAAGTCCAAAGTGTGTCCTTTTTCGTGTGTTGGGCCAGCCACGGACTGAACGAGACCAAAAGAATCAAGGAGATTTAAAAAGTCCCTAACCAGAGGTTTGGACTCGCAACACACATGGACATTGAAGTCTCCGGAGATCAAAACACGATCATATTTCACCATGATCCCGGACAGAAAGTCAGAAAAGTCATTTATGAAATCCTTATTACACTTTGGCGGACGATACACGACTGCGCAGAGTATAGGCGAGGCCGGGTTCAGTTCAAAAAGCTG